ACAGCTGACCAAGTCAGACACAGGAGGGTACAGGTGTGGTTATGGAAACCCTCTGTCTCCAGATTCATACTACAGTACCAGTCTTGTTGTCATTGGTAAGTAGGATGGTAAGAAATATGTGATTAAAAAAAAAAACAATAGCATGCTTTGTCATTCAGTAGGATAAAATAACATAAAAACTGAGGACTCCTGTTACTCACTGTCACGGTCGGGGCTATTGTCTCTTTTCAGTGTCTTTTTTTATTATCTTTTCTTTTGTTATTTTGAATAACACCTTAATTTATTTAAGTTCTAATGACATGCCTGTATCATGAAGTAAAACCTGAGCAGAAGATTTGTGACTCATAATTGTATGAATTAACATTTGGCAAAAATGCAAAAGAATCTCTATGTTAAATCTTTTGTTGGAGGGAGTTGTTCTTTTAAATTTTCTCTGTTTCTTCAAAACTGTCTGTTCACATACATATAAAATCATAGCCACTAGCTGAGGCCAAATGTATTCGAGTGTTACAGTCAAGTTGCAGTTAAAGTTGTGATGGTGATGACATTGTGTTCAAATGACAGACAAAACCTGTGTCTCAAATGTGGCTTGAGAAAATTATGAATCAAACTGAATTTCAAAAAATCAGACCGTTATCAATTCTAGCCTAAAAGCATGATGGTGTTATATTCTGAACAGAATTTTATTTGTGATAGTCAAGCTACGGTTGATTGCTAATTTTACAGTTAATGTACAAGACACTGCAGAATGTAATATTTTTTTATGGAAAACAATATAATCATGTGCCAAACAACCATCTGTCACACCAACATCCAACCTCACTTTTTCAGTGTGCACTAAAAGTTTCCAAATTAATGTTTTGAAGAGTCTGAGTTCATCAGGTGATGTGGATTGACACTGAGATTGAGTGAGAGGCTGACCATGACTTTCTAATCTGATTTAAAGATTTCATTATAATGTTAATGATGCATTTTGTATTTGGCAAATGTTTTTATTTTCAAGTATCACTACTCTTTTTTTTAATTTGTGTATTGTTCACAGGTTCAAATCCACATACTTCGACACCACAAGCAACAACTGAAACAACACAAACACCACCACCAACAACAGCACAGAGTCAGAGTTTCACTCCAAAGATTTCTACGTCTTCATCAGATTGTCCTCACTCCTCCTTGGGTCTGGTTGTGTGTGTGTCTCTGATTGGTGTTTTACTGATGGCTGTTTTTATCCTGCTCCTCTACATTTATAAGACAAGGAGGAACACTGCACTGAACATCAGAGAAAATGCAGGCAACAAAAACATGGAGGTGAGTTTTTGTCACTTGTTTACTTTCTGTTTATACAGGTTTCAGTGACCACAGTTTAATCACTGTGATGTTCTTAATGAAGTGTAGTGAAAAATAAATATTTTTTCACTTAATAACAGACCAAGTTACAGAAACATGTTCTTTTTTTGTTCTAGTACTTCTTATTGTTATTGTTATTAGGTTGATTCTTCTGTATTTGCATGTCTTTTACTTCCCAGACAAACATCAGTTCACCATTTCTAAATATGTGAAATCACATTTAGTCCTGTCAGTATTCTGCTCTGAAGCAAAACTGCTGTACTTCTCATTTTTAATAGCATGAAACTGATAATGCATAATGTTTTTGAAACCTCAGCTTTTATATTGTCGATGTTTTATTTTCAGTTCTCTGGCACATATGAGAACTGGGGTCCACCCTCCCAACATAAAGGCAGTAAGGACCATGATCATGCTTACTCTGCTTTGTAAAAAGTATGAAAATGCTAATGTTCTGATGCTTTTTTTTTCCTCTTTGGGCAAGTTTAAGATCTTGTATAATTTGTTCCACACACATATAAACATATATGAACTGAGCTTTTTTTTTCCAGTTACTTTCTTTCTATGTATTCTTGACTTCTTTCTTTATCCATAAATCTGACTGAATGAAACATTAATGTACCACATTTAAAAATAATGCAAAGTCTGTAAATGTACTAAGATTTTTAATTACTGGAGATCAGGAAGAGTCCATTATGTTTTCCATTTTTATTGACCTATTTAGCATTTCACATATATTTATCATGGTAGCAAAAAAGCTTCAGTATGCAATCTTAGCTTTGTAACACTGAGAACATGCTTATTACGCTGCATTATAAACATTTGAAGAAGAGATCAGTAGAAATATGTTTTATTGACAGAAACAGAAAACCAAAAGCTTTTTTCTAACATGCAATAAAATGGTTCACAAGCTGGCCAAAAAAAGGAAGTTGAGCCTGATTAAAGCTTAAGAAACTTTACCTCTCCTCATCCTCACCATCACCCTCAGAGGAGCTTTGTCCTGTTCTTTATTGTGGTGGTGAGGGAGGTTGTCAAACTAAAGAAGAAGGCTTTGGCTGGTCTGAAGCACCATACCAATATGGGAGGGCCAAAGTGTTGTGGCTCCAGCAGTTGCGGAAAAAAACGTGGTTGTTGGAGGAGGTTGTGGGTGAGACAATTCACAGTTTGCTTTGAATCCATAACAAAGAAAACCAGAATAAACAAATAAACACTTACTTGTTTAGATGTGCAGTGTATGGGAGCAGGTGCATGATGGTTTCAACAGGCTGAAGAACAGCAGTCACTCGGCATCAGCACATTTATTCTCTGTAAGAGGAACTCAGTTGCCCATCAAGGCAGACTCACTCCAAAACCTCTGAATGCTTATCACAAACACTATAATTACCGCTGGATCCCTCTGCACACGTCATTCACAACACAACATGTTGTTCCTAAGCATAGAGAAACAGACTGAGAAGTGTGTATTCAAAGGAGGCATTCAGGTGGAGTACTGCAGGCAGTCACAGCCCAGAACTAAATATGAAACTAAGCACAAAGTAATGTCCAATGTTTTTGTAATCAAGTGACTCTAATTTTTGTTCCAGGTTCTGTTTATTTGATAATTTCTATGAAACAAAAAAATGTGAAATAATATAAGTTTCATATAAAAGACTTATGTTGTTGTGATTCTCTTTGTTTTGCATACACTGTAATGAGTGAATCAGGTCAGACTGTAGATTTTCCTTCTTCTAGCTGTACTGACTGACCTTTGACCTCATGAATGAAGCATGACGTTTTCCTGCTTAGCTGACTGGATGCATTACAGTCAGACACCGGCCTCGATAAGAGAAACAAGTTTATGTATATACATCATTATAGCTGAATGTGTGTTCGCCAGAGGGCGCTGCTTCTTTTGATTAAATCATCCGTTAAATGTTTATGAATTTTTGGATTTTAATAGCAACATGTCAGATTCAGGACAAACTCTTTCTCCATATAAATAAAGATTGATTCAACTTTAACACTGTTGGAAATAATAGAGTCACATTTGTGTTTACAGAGTTAGAAAGTGTTTTATTGAGTTTAGTTTGAATCCTTTTCTATCACAGAAAAGTTCATAGAGAATATAAATCATTTGATAACAGCTTCTCATCACAGGAATCATCTGTGTAAACAGATTCAGAGTTAAATACAGGAAATAAACAGAACAGGTACAAACAGTGTATATATCACAGTAATATACTGACTTATGAGTGTTATAGAGGAGGAGCATCACAGCAGCAACAGCTTCACCAAATGTACAAAGTAACATTCAAAGAATCTCACAGAAATGCTGCAGTTTGAACACCAACACTCAGCTACAGTTAGAGCTGAAATGAGCCTGTCTGTCCAGATGGTGGCGCTATAAGCTCACTTTTTCCTGCTCAGTTACAGACATGATCTTATTGACTGTCAACAGCAGTGTGAATGATTCAGAGGGGGAAGAAGCTGCTGGTTGACATGAACGACTGATGTCGAAACAACTTTGAGGTTGTTCATGCAAAACCACAAAGATGTTACAAATTGTTTCTGTTTGTTCTGCTTGTTAATATAAATTGTGCACGGTGTCTCTCTCATGCTCAGTCAGTGTATCTGTAATCTGTCCGTGGATGTTGGTGTGTGCAGAATGTGAGTTTAAAGAAGAGCAGACAGCAGCAGTAAGTATTTTATCTGTAACTCTGTTTTTATGTCAAAACGTCTCTGAGAGTGTTTAAAGTGAAATCTCTGCTCTCATTATCATTAGGTATAATGTTATTATCCTGTTAAGCCCCAAAGGGCTTTCGGAGCTTCCTGTTTGAAAATGACTTGCCCAAAAAGAAGGGAGTATTTATCTGCAATTACAAACTGGCACAAGCTTTGGACCACACTGTAGCTCAAAGGCTATTTACTGAAAAAAATGACAGTTTATTCATTTTAAATGATTCACTGATTGTTGATGAGTTGCACCTGATCAAATGTATCAACCATAAAACAAAAGGTGGGCTCTTGTATATCTATGAAACATTTAAAAGAACAACATCAAAAACAGACCTGCGTATGATAACATTAGCTGTCCGCTTACATGAACCATCAATTGTCAAATTGTTTATTTATTTTGTTTATTAAATCTTCTTCTTCTTCTTCATAAAATAATTAATTATCAATTTTAATATAACTTTTAAATTGTATGATTTGAAATTTTAATTAATTTATTTTCAAAGAAACAATAAATATTAATAAATATATCATGTAAATGTATCATATGTAAATATGCCAGAGTCAGCCATAAGGCAACTTTCATCTGTAGTCCCATAATATTTGCTACATCGGGCATTTTGTGCACTTTATTGCTTATAGATTTATTGTTTTTAGGTTTTCAGGTGAAAAAAAAAATCACATCGATGAAGATTAAAAGGTAATCAGTTGTGATATTTATGATTTCCACGTGTTATTCTTGATTTTTACAATATTTATTAATATTAACTCAGAAAGTTACAAAAATGACTTACTGAGGAAATTATTTTAGCATATTCTTGCTGTGCTAACACTTAATGTGATTTATCAATAGCAATGGATAAACAAAAATGGGTCTAGTGGTCTGATTTTATGGCAAATAATCAATTTTAATATCATTTAGGTTATGTTAGCATTAGCACCATAAAGGGACAAATCAACCTTTTGTTTGACCACTTTTTTAAAAAATTATTAAACATTTAATTTTACTTTTTTAATGCTGTCAAGTGACATACATCTGTTTAGTAAGTCCTCCCACATTATCATATGTCAAAAAATTTTATCTTCCTACCTTAGTTTTATCAAAAACACTCAAAATATGTTGGGTGGTTTTTTTGTTTCTGACTTCCTGGTTGGGAGAGGGATAAGAAGAGCCAACAGTTTCCATTTGCAGTGCCTTCTGATGGATTTTTTTGGCATTACAGATGTAAACTAATTGGTAGAAAAGACTCAATTTCAATGAAAGCCTCAGTTAGATATAGGGCCTGAAAATGTGTTCTACCAATTGGTTGACCGGAACACTAAATGGTTTTAAACTGGTGTACAGTGACATCAATGTGTTGATGCATGTAAGTAAGCACACAGGTGAAATGTTATGTTTATTGTGGTTCAAAGACATTAATTAAACATCTATACATGAGTTTGGTCATGGATCAGGTTCAGAGTCGCCCATTCCAGAGATCATGAGTCTGCTGAACACACAAATCAGCTGCTTCTTACTCCATCAGAAAGAGCCAGGACTAGGATCAGGATCCTGCCTCATTAATTGAAAAACAGAGTATGATCTGGATAAAGAGATAAGGACAGAGTCAATAAGAAACTCTTTATCCACATCAGGACAACTGATCTCAATCAAACATCAACAACAATGATTCAGTGAAGTCCCTAGTTTAAATGCATGGACTCTGTCTGCTCTGAAAAACGGGTCTGAACTGGTGTGAAATCCTTTAAGTCTGAGAGGGAGATGCCTGAGGCCTGAAGCAGCTGAGGTTGTCTAAATAAGGGACTAATATCTAATCAGAGGACAACAGATAAAATATAGAGTTCAAAAATACACATGTGATTGTGGGTAATTTAGCTTCCAATGCAATATTAGAGTAAAAAATTGTAATAAAAGCTCAGACTCAGGCTCTTTAGATGGAGAGCCAATCCAGACCTCTTATTCAGGGATAGCGGGGATCTATCACATTTGAACGCATCAGTGAAAGTAGACTGGGGCCTAAATATGGACTTAAAACTTGTCTAAACTTGTGAGAAATTAAATTCACTAGCAGAAAGTGAATATAGAACATAAACAGGCTAACAAAAAGGCTGACATAAACGCTTGCCAACTGGTCTGTGAGTGTGAGTCCTGGTCTAACCTGGGGCTTTCCACCTGTAGAGAAAACATCCAGCCAAAAGTAAGATCAGACCCAGGGTCAGTATAGAGGCTCCGATGGCAATCAGCGTGGTTGATTCAGGAGTTGATTTGTCCGAGGACGGCTCTGAGTCTGACAGGTGACAGACAGAGGCCAACAGTCAAACAGACAGGTGAGCAGTCAAATACATATTTCTGTGGACATACAGACAGGTATTTACCCCAGTCAGTGATCAGAGGTTCCTTCAGGCTGGCGTGCTCCACCACACAGGAGATGTTCTCGCCAGACCTTCAACACAAAGACCTCTGATTCACAAACCACTCACAGAACTGGATCTGGAAATGAACCTGGATCTGATGTGGACTGACCTGGGTGTGTACTCCAGGTAGGAGTGAGTCTGGTAGTACCAATCACCATTTGCCATCTCCTCAGTGGAAGTGACATCAGAGGTGACTTCCTGTCCGTCTCTGAGCCAGCTCACTTTGATCTCACTGGGAAAGAAGTCGTAGACGCTGCAGACCAACATGGCAGGATGGTGACCAGAAAGCGGGGTCTTGGACTTAATTCTGACACTGGGCTGAACTAAAAACCACACAGACATTATATTTCCATTGTGGCAATATTATGTGTAATGGGACATAATCATCTGTAATCTACCTATAGAAAATGTGTTAGCTGTCAGAATAATGGCATAATTTTGGTTATTTGTAATTAAATAAATTAGAATTGCAAATTTCAAATCAATTTTATTTATATTGCTTCAAATCACAACAGTTGCCTATTGTAAGGTAAAAACCCTACATTAATACAAGGAAATAAGAAAAAAAAAATGCAACAATCATATGACCCCTATGAGCAAGAGTTTTGGTGACAGTGGGAAAACTGAAGGCTCTCCCTCACATTCTACTTTTAAATACTCTAGGAATGACAAGTAAGCCTGCAGTGCGAGAGCGAAGTGCCTAATGGCATGATATGGCACTGTAAGGTCATTAAGATAAGATGAGGTCTCATTATTGAGGAGCAGGAAGCCACTGAAGGGAAGCCAATACAGAAGAAATAAGCTTTCTCTTTCTAATTCATAATTTCTAATATCATAATTTTATTAATATCATATTTTATTACTTCCTTTACATCCTAAGCTCATGAATAATTTATTGGAGTCATAAATCACTCTGTTTGACATAAGGGGCATAATATCACTCTCTCGAATGAACTAGTTTTTTAGCGTCACTCTGAGACAGGATATTTCTAATTTTAGAGATGTTGCACAAATGGAAAAAAACAGTCCTACATATTTGTTTAATATGTGTATTGAAGGACATCCTGGTCAAAAATGGCAATTGCAATTATTAATTGACACTAACAGTATCAGTGAGAGTTAGGCTACGTTCACACTGCAGGCGAAAGCGCATCAAATCCGATTTTTTTGACCTTATGCGACCCATATCCGATCATGGTATGACAGTGTGAACGGCACAAATCCGATATTTTCAAATCCGATCTGGGTCACTTTCGTATGTGGTACTGAATCCGATACATATCTGATGTTTTAGAAAGCGACTGCTGTTTGAACGGTCAAGTCGCATTAAATCTGTCTTTTACGTCATTGACACAAGACAGATGCCAATTATCAGCGCCGGAGAAGCGCCCGATAAGAAATCGCAAATGCTTCCTGGCCATCCAGTGAAACTGTTGGGAAGACAGCGTTGAAGGAACGTGAACATTTTATTTGTACTGCATAATCTGCAGATTCTGAGAGAAATCTGCAACTATCCTTTGAAGCACCGCTCCTCTCTAAAACAGCAATAAGGATAATTATTAGGTTATTTACATTATTATGTAAATAACAAAATAACTTAAAGCAAAAATTGGGAAACGTAAAGTTCGAAGTCTTTATATTAAGGGCCATCAGTCAAACAATACTGTTTGCTCTGGGTCTAAACAGAGCGCGTTGTGTGTGACGTCTTCTTTTGTGCATGCGGGCCGCTTTGAGCGTTCACACTAGAGCGCGTTTGCTGTCACATTTTATTTGTAGTGTGAACAAGCAGACAAAAAAATCGGATTTGATCCAAAAATCGGAATTGAGCATTAAGACCTGCAGTGTGAACGTAGCCTAACTGTGGCACTAAAAACTGGAAGAAGCTCAAGTTTTGCCACCAGCATTCAATGCAAGCTGTATTTACACACATATTTGTTAAATCATCTTCTACTTTTTAACTTTTAATTAAAGGTTTAATTAATCCTGAAATAATTTAATACAATTTTTTTCATTGTTAAAAAACTTTGTTTCTTGAATTTTAAAGAAACAGAACTCCAGTAGACTCCAAATTTCTAAACAAATTTAAACCTTCAGGAGTTTAAGGATTAAACTGAGTGATTCAGAATGTTGGTCACTATGTGGCTGAACATGATGCCCTGATGATGTTGCACAACTACACACTCACCTGACTTAGCTAGAACAGCCCGATCATGAACATTAATGTTTTGGTAACAATATGCCGTTATCATTCGTCTCATTGAATTCAGCCGTGCAGTATCATTGTTCCAGAGCGTTGCCAGCTTCACTCCATGCTCAGTGAATCCAACATACTCCCCCACACTGCTGCTGAACCTGATGTACTCTATCTTCTTGTAATAGCGAGAGTAGATGTACTCGATGTGCTTCAGCGCAGTGGAGTTAAATTCACAGCGATCCACCCTATACTCTAAAAATCCATCTGAAGAACAAAACAGAACATCAGTGAAGTGCAGACTGTGGAGAACTGATCATACCTGCTGTATAATAGATGATAAAGTATAAACTGTATGTTGTATTGATGAGTCTATTGATCAATGAACCATGTATTGATCAACAATATACAGACCAAAGATGGATGTATTAATTGGTATGAGTGTGTTGATCAGTGCATTGATCATACCTGCAGTGCGGATGCTGATGAAGAGGAGGGTGAAGCAGAGAAAAGATGAAGCCATGTTCCTGAGTGCTCTTAACAAACTGCCTCAGTCTGACTGAGAGCTGCTTTAAAAGCCAGATGACATAGTCACTTGATCACATCATCACCTGTTAATAGGAAGAACTCTTTCAGAAAGGTTTCATCTGTAGTTTATAACCCCACCCTGCCACACCCCTTTTTTCTCTAACTAATGCAGTCCTAGGTATTAATGCGACTGAGGACTGAGGCTGTTCAGATGGAAACACTGTGACTTATTTGTTCAGATAAAGATAAACTAAATACAAAATGATTTGGCTTTTATAAAGTGTGATATTATCTATAGTTAAGCAAAGATACTGGAACCAGCAGGTTCATCATGTTCATTAGTCAAAGTAAACTTTATAGACTGAATAAATTACATGGATGAGTGATGAAATCTTTCTCCCACTAAAAACGTCACATCCAGATAAACAGAATCAACTTTTTGAGATTTTCTTACCTGGATGACTGAGCATGTGTCAAGACATTATTGATCAGTTCTACAGATCTTTAATCAGTGATTCTACAGTATATGATTCAGAGGAGCCGACTGACAGTGTAAAAGCTTCATTACCGTCCACAGACTCACGCTGTTACAGAGTTAGAAATTTGATCTGACCTCAAGGTAAATCACAAGTGAAAAAGTTTTGCCCCCTTCCTGATTTTCTTTTCTGTATTTTATCATAATATGATGTGACTGTCCAACTACGTTGCATATATAAGTGTGGTGAAAAGTGTTGATCAAGTTACCTGAAAAAGAAATCAGTAACTAATTACTTACGGTTCCAAAAAAGTAATCCTGTTACTTCACTGATTACTTATTTTCAAAAGTAATTAATTGCTTAGTTAGTTACTTTTTAAAAACATGACACACAAGCTGAATAGGTAATAAAGCAATAGACTTTTCAGCCCAATTCTATTTTTTTTCTGCATAATCCATGATATAAAATGTAATCAAATTAAAATGTTTGTTTTTAAAACTTGCTTTATTAGTTTTAATCTTTTAACTTTATGCATCAAGCAAAAATTAAATTAAATGCAACAGTCTTTGACTTGAAGAAATTTGTTTAACATTTAAACCTATATTCTGCATATTCCAGCATATAAAATAAAACATTTTTTTGCGTTTTTGCGTTTAGTTTCTCTGTGAATTTCACATTCCCGTGGCAGCGTACTTGCTCAGAAGTTTAGGGGGGGGGTTTTTGCTGTAGAAGGAAGTTTTCTTCCCACGCAGTGTATACCGGACACTAATGTTTTTGTCACTTGTTATGAAACAAACTCAAAGTAAGGTCAGTACTTCCATGCTTTACTTAGTTACTGCCCATCTCTGGTGGTGAATCACATCTTCCAGCTTCACTTAGTCCAACATTTACTGTCATCTGTTACAATAAACATGATGAACGTGCTGGTTCCAGTATCTCTGCTTTACTGATCATCCAAAACAGAAAATAATATCACACTTTATAGAAGCCAAATCCTGTTGTATTTGGCTTATCTTTATCTGAACAAATGGGTCATATGTTTCAATTTGAACAGTCCAAAAACTTTGGACCACATATTGCTACCAGCTTAATCCTTGGTCACATTAATACCTGGCACTGCATTAGCTAGAGAAGAAAGGGATTGATTGATTGATTGATTGATTGATTGATTGATAGATAGATAGATAGATAGATAGATAGATAGATAGATAGATAGATAGATAGTACTTTATTCATCCCGAGGGATGTGGCAGGGTGGTGTGATAAACTATCCAAAAAACCTCTGTGAGAGTTCTTCCTGTTAACAGGTGATGCTATGGTCCAGTGACTCTACACAGTAAAAAATGAGTGTCAGTTTTACAGAGTTGATTTTAACTCTGTTTCAAATAACATTTTGTCCCACTCAAAATTAGAGTAAAATTTACTCTATGGCCAGTCTTAACTTTTTAGTGTTAATTCCTCTCAATTTGGTGTCGAAATGAACAATGAAATGTTCAGAGAAATACGATTACACTTTACACAGCTTTTTTTTTTTTTACTACAAATGCAGTTTAATAATAACACACGAATGTGTAATAATATTTCACTTCTATTTCTCTGTAGTGTAATTTTTTATATTCATCATATTCAGTTCATCATCATCAGGTTGTCAACATTAAAGACGACTAAATCTTGCTTTGTCCTTAGTCAACTCATAGGCATGGAAATGTTTTTGAAAGGCTACTGCACATGATGGCAAATTGAGCAGCACTGGTTTCTCATGTATTATCAAAACTGATTCAATCTGGTAAAACAGAGGCATCAGACACTACTTTAACATTGTTTATCGCTTTTATATTCAGAGAGAAATACTTTAAATCACTCGTTGCAGGACCTGGTTATTTAAATCATGTAGAGTGGTAGCAACAGTAAAAGTATCAGCCTCATAAATTAACTTATAAGAAAGACTCAAAACCTCCCTCCGCCCGCTCATATGTAGTGTTGATGCATGTGTGTTCTAAGGTGCATTTTCTCTTCATTTTGAGAAGAGAGGGAAGCCACATTTCAAAATATGTAATAGCATTCGTCTCTTCCACCCCTTCCTTGACACTAAATATGCGGAGATTAAATCTTCTACTCCGAGCTTCTTGATCATCCAGCCGGTTTGAGAGCATGCAAATCTTACTTTTTGCACGAGTGAGCCTAACTTCCATGTCGGCTATTATATCCTCCGCATTCGATGCAAGTCTCTGCTTCATCAAGGCGTCTCGTGTTGCCATCAAGAGTTGCCTGAATAGCATCAAGTTTGCTGTTGATAACATCCATCTTCCCTTCTATAATCGTACCAACCACATCTGTTATTTTTGCAGTTAAGATGTCATAATTGAAGGGGTAGCTTGGGTTAGCTTCAGCCATGCTTCCATCATTAGCTTCAAAGTTAGCCTTCAGACTGACCTGGCTTTGAAGTTGCAAACTGAGCTTTGGAGGTCATATCGGCATTCTCTTTTTATCCTTTTTAGCTGGCACGATGTCCATAAGTCAGTGATAGTGATGCCTAAATCATGAACGAATCGTTCAATACTCGAGAATCACTTTACTGACTCATGAATCATGATTCAAGCCCAACTGACTCGCTGACTCATCCCTGTTGGTGTTAGCAGCAATATATCTAGCTTATAATTAAAATTGTGGAGAAAAACACAACATCCAGTATCTTAACAAAAACATTTCTGCTCTGAACTGGAAGAAAAAACCCTGAGTAGAAGCTCACATTAACGGTGCGAGTTAGGCGCACCGGCACAAAAGTTAGGCGCACTCAAATATTTCAACCGCATCGCTTAACACCGCAGTTTTACATGTGCACTTTTTTGGGGGGGAAATTGCAGTCCATACAGACAATATTCATTTGTAAATGATTAACTAACAATCTTGTACTTAAAGTGCTTTGGCAATATTGTAGACAATGTTAAACTTAATCATCACATCAGCCTCCTTTGACGACCTGTTTGCTGTTGCATGCTGCTGAAAGGCAGTGGGGAGAGGGGACACTTGGGCAGTGCATTTATCGCAGCATATAATGTGTTTTCTGGATACACTGTGCTTTTTCAGCGTTCAAAGATTAATGGCTCCATGTCAGAGCACTGCCTATGACTTTCAGACGGATCAGGCCTTAACTTAACAAAAAAGTTATCAATAGTTCTTTTCATCTTTTCTTATTACCCACAGCTACATCCACTTCTGTCGGGCCTCACTAGGGCTGGGTATCATCACTGATTTCTATAATCCATTAGATTCAGGTTCTCAAAGTCCTGATTCGATTCAATTTTGCCTCAGACAGTCAGAAATATTATAATTCTGATCATTTATCAGTACTGATACAT